TAACACTGACTTTCCCCCCCCCCCTTCCTGACACAGCATTATTAATGTCCTATCACTGACCAAGATCACAGGCTTTTGGGGGGGTTTTTTTTTGAAGACCGAAGATCTGTCTGCAAACAGCCAATCTTGCTCTTATTGAATTTATCTAGTCTAGCGAAGCTGCTGATGCAAGACAAAACCAGGACTAATCGCCAGTCTGTACAAACGACCTAGATGATGATTGCAATTTATTCCACACCAGAACTAAATCACCTTCACCATATGCTAAACTACAGGGCAGCACTGGCAGAGATAAAACATGCTGCCTTTCAGGAGAGGTTGCTTACACCTTGCTGTCCCTATATGCACACAGGAGTGTAAAATTCTTCCTATTTTTCCCTACTTACCACAATGCACTTGCTCCACCTGTTGCCCACTTGCATTTCTGCAAGTCCATCTACAGTTGCAATCTGTGCAAGAGCAATTGCTTTGTCTTTAGGGATAGTTACGGATCTTTATGCCTGCTTGCTCACTCGAAGCATAGCCGGTACCACCACCTTCTGCACAGATCCTGGAAAGCACAATCAGCAGAGTTTAAGAACAGCTGGAGAGCCACAGATCTGAACCAAAGAACTAGCTCAGCTTTAATCATAGTACACTATAGTTAGTTACTGAGAGCCTGACAAGCACCTGTCAGGAAAGTAGGATTCACTAGGTAGTTGACTCCTCAGGAAAGCACCCCCAGATTAGATTATGGGATTAATAGCAAATGCACATTCCTCCTTTCCAGCACCTCTGCTAGGTTAGCACCAGGAACAAGGAGGAAAAGCATCTTTAATTGAAAGATACAGAGACTCCCACTAAATAGCTCTGTCAGCATCAGGGCCCTCCACGATGTTCAGTTGTGCTGCTTGTTCCTAATGGCTGGAAATGAGCAACCTGGAAGATGGCAGCAAGGTACTGCTCGGCTCCTCTGAGGCCAACAGCAATCAAAACTTAAGTGTTTGCTGCCACTGGGCTCGCACTGCTTTTCTGAAAGAGAGTATTTCTCTTACCTAGGTAATATGTACTATTACTTGTCTTTCACGCAGGTGCCAGACAGAAGGTGGGGAAATGGCTGAAGCTTACATGCTATGCTGAGGGGAGCTAGAATAGACACGAGGAAAAACACAACTCTATTAACAAAGCATATGCTTGCAGACACAGCACTTCCAATGCCATGGGTCCAACTGGGCCACAACTGCTTTCTGCAGCCTGACAGTAATTGCAGCGTCTGTGTTGCCATCTCCAACTGAACTGTGGGTCCAACATCCCCTCCTTTCAAAAAACAGCAGTCAGAAGTCATCTTCAGGCCCCTTTATTTCACTAAGCTTGACTTCACAGCATGACAACATCCATAGTCTGGTATCTGCTGCCCTCCCCTGCTCTGGCAGCATAATGCTAAGAGGAAGTACAGGGAATTTCTTCCCCCTCCCCCCTTTCCTTCTGCAGCGTGGGGACACAACATGGCTGCTAAATTCTGCTGGAATAGCCCCAAGGCAGCCTGGGAGCTGACTAACAAGGCAGCAAGAAGGAGGAGAGCCCCATCATAGCCAGCCTGCCCTCTGTGCGATGCTAAAGTAAAGTTCCCTTTTCTATTCGCCCACCTCCAAAACCTTTGGCCACCATTACACAAGGAAGAGGCAGCAACACCTGTTTGGCACAGCTCTCAAAGCGGGGTGCCTTCTCTCCAAACACTTCTGCAGTCTCCATTTGAATCGCTAGAGTCTGTTCCTACCATAGCTTTGACATTTCTCGAGCAGGGGAGCTGTCGTATCCGCTTTCTTTCCTGCCCATGGGAATTTAAGGCTGAGGAAAGGTTGTGGCCAGCACAGAAGACAGACAAGGCAATTGCCAAGTGCCATTTATTATGAACTTTGAGAACTGGCAGCTCTGACACAGAGTGACTGCAAACTTGTAGAGGCAGAGCTGGATTGGTTTGACATTCAACTGGCACTTAGACACTTTCCATCAATACCGTAGACTAAAAAGTTTCCTAACAAAACAAAAAAGCAAAGTAAATTTTGAAAGCACGACTAGGTAGAGACAGTCAGTCTCTCCTCAGGCTGTGCAGACCAAGGTGACCATAGCAAACTCCCTTGCACTCTAACCTTTTCTAAACAGAGAGGCACAGAGGACTCAACCAAGCTACTCTTTAGATGGTCTTTTCCCAACACAGGGAACAGCAGACATGAGCCAGGAAGAATCCCAGGTATAACTAAGGCATAATTTAGCCAAGGCAGAGCAAAGTACAAAAGGTGACTGGGGGAAGGAGGGAGAGGGGCAGAATACACCTTAAACCACCCATACAACTTTGAAGTGGCTGGCAGCACTCCCACGTTAACTATAAAGTATTAAATATCAGCACACAACTGGCTCAGATTTGCTCCATTCCCCACTCACTCTCAACACAATCACAAGACCAACTTTGAAAAAGTCAATTTCTTCAGTATGCTTTTGTTTTAAGCCATACAGTTGTGTCTTCCCCATTTCTACCTGAATGTTCAACTGGTTTTGGACCTTTATACTGCCGCCCGTTATCCCACTATCCAAGGCCTTCCATGTGAAGGTCAGTAACAAGAAACAGTCCTCAGCAGGCTTGCAGTTCCTTGCACTAGTCATTCAAGTCACAACTCTGCTTGACACCAGAGTACTTTGGAGAGTGAAAGGGTTGGCTTTGTCTCCAGAAGCTATAATTTCAAACACACCATGAAAGAGTAATGCTTTGATTAAAAAGAAAAGCAAGCACTGGAAACAGTGAACATTTGTTTTGCTCCATTGTTCTGGACTAAATGTTTAATTTGTTGTTCCTATGCAAATGGTCCCCATCATTTCAAACAGGTACATGTTCCCCTCCAGCCCAACTTCTTTACATGTAAAGACAAGGCAGTGTTTGCTGTAATACTATTTTTACCCAACTGACTGCACAATACATGATCAACAACTGCTTGATGAGTTGTGGGACCCTGAAGGTCAGTTTTATTTACCCAGCAGCCCTGGAAATGAGACAAAGGGGAAGTGAGTAGAAGGAAGAAAGACTGAAGCCAAGTTACATTCTATTTCAGGTGAATTTATTGAGTTACAAAGAACCTGCCAGCCCACCATATTTACAAAGATTTTCAAGAGGATTCTAGAGTTATTACTGCTACTGAACCACAAGTTAAAAATGCATAAACAAACCAAATCAACCACATCCGTGATGTCAGCTGTAGAAACACCAGTTACCTTATAGGACTTTAAGGCATAGTCAAATCAAACATGAAAATGTTTTCCAACCACTGATTTCTAAAGCCACCAGCAAGATTCTCATTTCTCCCTCTAACGCAGAAGTGACTGAAGATCAGGCATCCTATGCCACTACTGATGGAACTCTGTTTCTGTTCTTCAATACGTTTTATGAATCAGGAATTTAATGAGAAGGCTCTTCAGAAGCAAGCATTGCAAGGTGTTAAAGTCATCTTAAAAAAGCACAATGAAATCCCCAGTTGGTTCCATTTGATACTTTTACGAGGTAGTATTGCTGCCAGATGTACACATAAAATCCTGTCATCACTTTGGAGTCACAACCAAAGCAAATAAAGCCAAACTTGCCAGGGCACTGGCACTATTCATGTCTCAAGCAGCACTGTAGAAACAGTACCACCGGAAAACACCACACTGCTGTTCTTTTCTTACTGTCCATGATTTTGAAAGGCTGTTTTCAGTCAATTTCTTCCATTCAGCTGCCAGAAAAAAAAAAATATTAATGCTCTCTACATTCACTCATCCACCTTTTCTTTCCCCACTCCATCCCCAGAAGAGATCATGAATTCTTTAAGAGAAGGGGAGGAGAGAGCATATCTTGCAGTTCAGCTGGGTTTGTTTCCAAGTATATTCCAGCTGTATCAAGTCCTGAAGAAGTTCTACATTACAATACCACAATACCAAAGGGAATTGGACACTGTAGCCAAGGCCTGTAAGCCCATACATCTGAACACATGCAGTTCCCACTGACTGGTGGCTCTGCTTGCTTTGTTAATAAGTCTACAGTAATTTGTACTTGATACTGAACTTCACACATTATTGTATGTTTGGGGAAGAATCTAACCACTTGAGTGCAGTGGCCCTCCTCAGTGCACTGACAGGTAAACATTTGCTGATCAACAGTCTAATTCCATAAGACTGACTTGTAAAGTATCAACTAAGATTCAGAGTTACTCTATGCACAGAAAACTAAAAACCAGAAGGAATAAATCAGTGTTAAACAGAGTAGCAGGGAAACTGCTAGTAGTATTTCAGAGAAAAAAAACACTGAAATATCCTTATCTGTACAAAGCAAGAGGAAGCCCACCAACTTTATGTTTAAAAGAAACATGTAACTTTGTTCCTACTGCAAGGGCTACAAAAACAAAACCAAAGAGAAGCCCAAGCATCATTCAAGCAAGAGCAACCACCATCTAGCAAGAAGTCTTTTATGGAGTAGGTACTACACAAATGCAAACCAGCATCAGACCTGGGGAATCTACCTCCACATAGCAGGGAGACTGTTAGAGGCACACCACACTGTCACACTGCTCTCCTCAAAGGAAAACATCCTCACACTTATGAAATTAGCTGCAGAGCTGCTCACTGCAAAGAAGCAGATAATCTAGGATTTAAGAAGTTTATACTATCATCATACCCAAGGGAATTCTCATCAACTTCTCAAGAGATTTGTAGCTGGGCCCTGCTGAGCATGCATTCAGCTCAAACAGTACATACAGAAGTGCCACCCATGTTGGTAACTGAGGTCAGCATCCAGATGCTTAGGTGTTGAGACACTGCATCAGATTTAAATTTATGTAAGTTTCATAGTTGCAAGTAAGACTAGAGCAAGTCTTCAAAAGGCAAATTACCCTGATGCTTGTGTATATGAAGAAAACAAACTGCCACACTTGCTACACTATACCAAATCAGTGTGAACTGTTTAAATTTAGTGCCAAACACAACAGCAAGGCGGCATGGCAGAATATCCTTCCCTACCAGCGTGATGGCTGAATGAGCTACACCCACCAACACACCTTGCTTGCCTTATGCATCTCTTCCAGCCCCCCAGAAAAACTGATACAGAGAATGGCACAGTAACATTACTGGGGAACATATTTATCATGAGATCTTTGCAACTCAGGAAAGCTTGGAGGGCGAATTTTCCTATATCCAGTTTTACTGAGGTAAATTATTCTAACAACTTGACTAAGAGATGATCAAACCTCTAGTACATGTTACTTAAGTGTTTCAAAGCTATTCACATCACTCACTAAGAGCTAAGTGATAATTTAAACATTGAGCAGGAAACCTTTGTGCTTAGCTTGTGGACTAAAGTCTGAGTTAAATCCTATTATTGCAAGCCAGCAAAACTTGGTCATGCTAGGCTTTAAGGAAATGGTAGAGGAAAAGGGATTCTTTAAAAACTGGACTATAGTGTAGCAAAAGACAACTATGTAACTATAACAGTCTGAACATATCTACAAAATTCTCCTCTGGACCATGAACTAGCCTTGGAAGACTCAAAATAACAAAGGCAAGGAGTTATGCAGCTGAAAGATCTAGGGAACTCCATCCAGAACAAATAGTCATGGCCACTGACGCCAAAGAATGATACTGGCTAACACTGTTACCTGGTGCCATTTTATCAGTAAGAAAGTTTTAGTGCCTGTAACAACCTGGACTTAATTAGTCCAGTAAGCTGGTGCATTTACCCTTAACAGATCAGGACTGATTATTGGTAGACATCAATAACATATCCCTTTATTTCTGACTGGGCCACCCTCAGTCCTAGATCTGGGGCAGACTGCCCTACAAGTTTCCATTACCTGAATGATCTCTTGATTTCTTTTTTCAGTATTCACAACCTCATGCTGAGATTTGAATTCCAGTTTTTGAAAGGCAAAGGGTTAATCTACCAACCTGAGACTCAACAACTGTCCCTTCCAATTATTTAGTGCTTGAAACTGAGACTTTTACACAGTGCAACCTAGCAGTCATACATAAATCATCGCTTATTATCACACTTTAAAAACAGCTGTGTTAGTGGGATTTTACTTCTCAGCAGATTTTACTTTCCCTTGATCTTCCACTTTTTTGATGGCAGCTTGGATAGCCTCTTGATCACCCAGAAACTGGTGAGGGCCCAGAGGGTGCAGATTCTCATCAAGTTCAAGAAGTATGGGCACACCAGTGGGGAGAGTAACATTGATGATATCTTCATCGGAGATGCCTGCCAAAGAGAAAACAGAGTTATACCTAGTAAACAGCTTCCTAATTGTCTGTCTAGCTCAGCCTTATTTCTGAGATTATCTAGTCTTAAAACGGTTAAGTACATGTTCCAGCCTCCATCAACAGCACCAGCTACTCAAGGGTCAATTCCCAGCTAGACCGCAATTTCGTTGGTGCTTTAGGAACAGCCAAAAGAGGGAATTCCCATTAAGATTCCTAAAATTCTTCATTTTTCAGCCTACAGATGTGAAATAACCAGGAAGAGATTACCCTGGAGACTATACCTTTCCTTCAATACAGGACATTGAGGACAATAGGTTCTCCCCCATATCTTCCGAACTCATGCATCACAAAATAGGATTAGAGTCCACAAGTGCTACCCCAACATGAAACCACCTCTGCTAAGCAACCAATACAAACAGCTTCTTTAAAAAGGCAGGATACCAAGGTTAATGTTTCTCTTAAGCTTGTGCAAGAAGCTTTGCATAGAGAGTTGTCTTAAAAATAAGTATTTAATTCTTCCATTGTACGGATCACTATTTGCCCTCATCAGATTTCTCAAAAGCAAGTTTATAGCATCTTGCCTACAGTACTATTCTCAGAATTACTAGATATATGATATTACTTTCCACTTTCAAATGAGAGGGAGTAGAAGGAAAGGGAGAAAGTCAACTTATACAGCTTGGAGCATTTTCCTGTGTTTTGCCATTTCACTACAATAACATGTACCTAGGGGGGAAAATTTATTTTACCTAGCTGTGCTTAATTAAAATACTCTGGGGCTCTAATCTCAGTGAAATTGCTGGTCATTTTTACATCAAACACACAAGTGTCCAAAGCATCCAAGTGAATTTTGAGACCAAACCTCCTAGTAAAGTTCCACACAAAGTCTAAATAGTTGCATTAAGAAGCAGTGACTGCGAAGACATTATTCCTCAAAAATTTCAGGTTAGAGCTAGGTAGTATCATTGGGAATGTCAGTATTTCTTTTTTCTTCCCTTTTTAAGAGCACAGAGGTCACAGCAGCAGCCTACCTTTGTAAAGCAGGACAGCTTCAAGTAATTCATGCTTAGAAAATGCATACAATCAAGCTTCTAAAACAATGACACAATACAAACTAGACCAAGGTGCACAATGAAAACATCCTCTTGAGCAGCTGACAAAACAGATGGTTCTCAGAACATATGGGTACAAATTTACTTGCAATTTTCACATTAAGTAGAAAAGCAGAGCCAACATATTAACAGGAAAACCCAAAGTCAAGCCACTCAGCAACAGTAGGATGACAAAAGGTCAGAAAAAAAACAGAACTAATCATGAAGTAAGAATAGGTTTATGCCCCTGCTTGGAGACTACACAAGCATGCAACTTTTGCAGTGACCTATTCTTGTTTTGATTAGGCCAAGTACTTAGTTCAGTTGTAGATTAGCCCCAAGGTTTGGAAGAGCATGGAACAAGAGAAACAGACAAACCTTTGGAAGAGGCTGTATACAAGGGATATATATATACCCCTGTATACAAGGGATAAATAAATAATTCACTTGCAGGCAGCAGAATTGCAGACCAACAGAAAAACACTCAAGGAGCATCTAAAATTTTAAAACCACACAGAAATCAATGGGAAAGATACTGAATCCATTTACCAGGCACAAGCACTATTTGAGGAGTTTAGTTTGCAAAACAAGCAGCCCAGCTGCCTGAGCTCTTATTTCAAGGATTCTTAAACACATTAGATTTTAACAACATATACTTGTCACCATGTATCCACAGAGAATCCGGCCCTAGGAAGTGTTCCACCCATGTCTCAAATTCAGTCTCCCAGACTAAACCATTCAGATATACACAAAGCAGATGGAAGTCATACAGAAGAACTTAAGCAAACCACATAATGCGGTCAGCAACCAGGATATTTAAAGGTTTCCTCTAAAGATGTAATAAGCAAAATAGCTGTAGCTACATGGATTCAGAAATGCATTTTACTGTTTTTATAGAACACAAAGTGACACACCAATGACAACTAGTATTGATTTACAAAGCAAAAGAGTGCATTCTAGGATAAACGAGCCACAGCAAGCATGTCTGCTTTCTCATCAAGCTTTTTCCTCATATGGAACTGTTGCCTCACAGCCAGAAAGCTGGAACTGCAAGTTGAAGTCAGATGAAAACCCTGAAGAAACAGTGTCCTGTTGCTTTATTTCAGCACTGTTACTGTATTTCTACAGTATCTCCGTTCTTCAGGAAGAAAGATGCTGATCAGGCTTGTCACACAAGCTCTTCAGCTGCAGACAAAATGCACATGGAACACTCCCCACCTAGCAGGCTAGGAGAACAGTAAAGAGATCAATTCTTACACTCCAGCCATGGCAAGTGCGAGCTAACTGCTATCCAGTTACTTCATGTGCTGTAACTATAGCCAAGTGACCTTTTTTTGCACTTCATCTGAGCTGGCCTGTACCACAACCCCATCCTATCTTCACAGGAAAGAAGGGTGAAATCAGGGCAAGGACTCAACTGCTGACTACAAGGTGCAATGGGAAATAAGACCACTGAAGAAGCATCACTCTTCCCTCCAGTATAATACTGAAGCCCGGATCTCAGCACTGCTGAAGGGTACTGTGCTGCTGGAAACAGTCTTTCCCCAAGAAGGTTTAAAACTAAGGTTCTACCTACTTTACAGCCATGAGGACCCACAGATATTACTGAAGTACTCATGAGGTCTTCCTTAGGACACCAGATAAAATTCTGACTCGACAACTACATTCCTCAAGGGGACATCTCCCATGTCCTCTCTCATGAGCAGCTGTTGTTCCTTAACAGCAGCTGTATAGCAGGAAGCAGTTAGGTACACTAACACTGGAAGAATTTGGTACAGTACTTGTTACAAAAAAGATCTTTTAAAGTCACATTCAGAATTCTTTCCCACTCACTCACGCTCCATTTAACTGAACTGGGCAGTCAAACACAGAGACCAGCAGTATCTCTGTGCAAGCTGACCATGAGCCAGCAGTGCACCCTTGTTGCCAAGAAGGCCAGTGGCATCCTGGGGTGCATTAAGAGGAGCGTGGCCAGCAGGTCGAGGGAGGTTATCCTCCCCCTCTGCTCTGCCCTGGTGAGACCCCACCTGGAGTACTGTGTGCAGTTCTGGGCTTCCCTGTTCAAGAAAGATGAGGAACTCCTGGAAAGAGTTCAGAGGAGAGCAACTAGGATGATAAAGGGACTGGAGCATCTCCCCTACAAGGAAAGGCTGAGAGAGTTGGGCTTGTTCAGCCTGAAGAAGAGAAGACTGAGATGAGACCTCATCAACACATACAAATATCTTAAAGGTGGATGTCATGAGGATGGAGCCAGACTCTTTGCAGCGGTGCTCAGCAACAGGACAAGGGACAATGGGCACAAACTGAAACATAAGAGGTTTCAGTTGAATATGAGGAAAAATTTCTTTACTTTGAGGGTGACAGAGCACTGGAACAGGCTGCCCAGGGGGGTCATGGAGTCTCCTTCTCTGGAGATATTCCAAGCCTGCCTGGACAAAGTCCTGTGTAACATGCTCTAGGTGAACCTGCTTTAGCAGGAGGGTTGGACTAGATGATCTCCCGAGGTCCCTTCCAACCCTTGCCATTCTGTGAATTCACCTTTACCTGGTAGCCCATGAAGCACTTTGAAATACTTGCACCTTGAAGAGTCCTACAGAAGCAAACCCCATTGGGCTTGATTTGGAGCACCTACAGCCAACTTCTACAGGGGCCGGCTCAGCTTCTCCCTCCCTCTCACCTGTCTTACCAAGTTCCTTACTTCTGTTCTTATGGTCAGAGCAACACAAGAATCACAACAGCTATTGAGAATAGCTACACCTCTCCTTCCCTGCATGTCAGCTACACCCAAGGTCAGATGATTCATCCAACAAAACACACAAGATCACATGCATAAATTCAGCTACAATGGGCTTGTTCTAGAACTGGTGCTTTGTAATTGAGATCCAAATCAGGCCATAGCATCCTTCCCAAACTTAATGAAAATACTAGAGCTTTATCCTAATAAATTAAATATTCAGGGCCAGATTCTGCCCTCCCTGCAGGCTAGCAGAGGACCTAGCTTGAACAGGGTATAGGAAGGAAGTGGGCAGTGTTAGAATTGGCTATTAATCTTTACATAACATAGCTCACTGTGCAGATTTTAAGGAAAGAAGGAAAAAGATGGGTGGGCTACAACCATGGCTGCAGCATATTATCTACATCTGTTTCACCCTTACATCTGCTAAGATTTTCTAGGTCTGTATGGGGTTTGCATGGCAAGGCTTTGGTAGCATGGGGAGCTACAGGGGTGGCTTCTGTGAGAAGCTGCTAAAAGCTTCCCCTGTGTCCAATAGGGCCAATGCCAGCTGGCTCCAAGATGGACCCCACTGCTGGCCAAGGCCAAACCAATCAGCAACAGTGGTAGTGACTCTGTGGTAACATATTAAGGGGGAAAAAAAAAAAAAAAACATGCCATGCAGCAGCAGCTGGAGGAGAAAAGTGAGAATGTGAGAGAAACAATTCTGCAGACACCAAGGTCAATGAAGGAGGGGAAGAAGGTGCTCCAGGGGCCAGAGCAGAGTGGTCCTGCTAAGGAAGGGAGTGATAAAGTGGCACATTGGTTGCCAGAAAGGACTGTGGTGGATTGGCCTTGGCTGGATGCCAGGTGCCTACCAAGCTACTCTATCACTCCCTTCCTCAATAGGACAGCAGCGGTGAAGAATAAAATGGAACAAACTCATGGGTCAAGTCAGAGGTGTTTCAATAAAGCACAAGCAAAAGCCAGATGCAAAGGAAAACAAAATTTCTTCCCTGCTTCCCATCAGCAGGTGATGTCCAGCCACTTCCCAGGAAGTAGGGCTTCAGTATGCATAGCAGTTGCTCCAGAAGACAAACATCATAATAATGAATGCTCCACCATCCTCCTCCCTTCTCTTGGTTTTTATTGCTAACTCAATGTCATATGGTATGGAATATCCCTTCAGTCAGTTTGGGTCAGTTGTCCTGGCTATGTCCCCTCCCAAGATCTTGCCCACCCCCAGCCTACTGGGTGAAGGGGGGGAAAATGTTGGAGAAACAGCTTTGACGCTGTGCAAGCACTGCTCAGCAGTAGCCAAAACACTGGTGCATTATCCACACCTTTCTAGCTACCAATACAAAGCACAGCAATACGAGGGCTGCTATGGGGAAAATTAACTCTACCTCAGCCAGACCCAATGCAATGTCATTACATAAACAGCTCCTGGTCACAGTCTAACTTTGACTGGGGTCATTACTGAGGCCATCCCAATATGAGACCGTGAAGGAGAGCAAACCATCAATCTACCACATTCCCCATGCAGTGGAGGAATCCAGCCTGTCTTAAACTCCTCAAGCAGTCCAAGATTACACAGGCTGAAGGAGGCATGAGATTTGCTACCACTAGCACTAGCTACCAACTATCACATTAGAGGAGAAAGTCCCAGAAGTCTACCACCACCAGGAGCTCAAGGCAACACTGTAACAAATAAAGTTCTCTGAGCATGCAATTCTGGAGCCTACCAGGATACATATTGCCCTTGAACAGAACTCTGGCAAAAGGTTTCCATCCCTGGCTGAAAGGGCTGAATAAGCTCAGTTAAAGACTTAAAAATTTGATGCCAACATCGTATCTTTGACAGGATTGCACAGTCATGCTTGTCCTTGGTGGCATTTATCAAATTCATAGGGAATACCTAGAAGGAACACAGCCCAGCATCCCTACTGGACACCAACAGCTCACAGGACTCAGATCTTCATCAGCACCCTCTGGGAGAGATGTCACTCAGTCCCCCAGGACAGAAGAGCAAGCTCTGAGAAGCTGCTGTTTCTGATCTCCAAGCACATACAAGAGTATGGTCTGGTTTGTATTAAATACAGTTTTCAGAAAGACTACTGGGATTTCACTTTTAAGTCCTCACATGCAGACCATGACAGATCCTACAGACATTTCATATACCTTAATGAGGTCCACTCTGAGCACTGAGAAAACAAGAAATCCAAACCCGTAATTAAAGCCTTGTTAGCCTGACATTCTGTTGCTCTGATGATTTTTGTATGCAAGTAGAAAGCAGATCCACATTTCAAGCTCTTTACCAATTACTTATAACAAGAAAAAAAAAAAACAGATTCAGAGAACTGCAGACACACTTCAAAAAAATACCTCCTTGAAATAGTAACTTCAAGGATACTCTGAAGTCTTTCAGAAAAGACATTAAATTTCACACTGAAACAATTAGAATTGTTTCATCAGATCAAACTGAATTAAAACATGCATATTTACTGCCATTTAAAGTTTCCAAGCTACAGCTGCCAGGGTTAAGTTATCCCTATGACCAAGGCATCCAAGCAGTCATGTAGGATTGCTGCTTGAGGCATTTGGAGCCAAATTTTCTAAATGCCAAAAAACATGGCTCCAGCTAAGGCAGAAGGGATTAGAAACTTCCACTCAAGTGCCGGACACCAAGCTTGTCCAAAAAAAAAAAAGTCCACAAAAACAAAGCCCACCTCACAGTGGGTACTATAAATACAGCAGACTGACAAACTTTAAGCAATGTTGAATCAGATCCAACTCCAGCAAGGCTCCAGAGCAGCTCACAACTCAATACCTTTCAGAAGAGAAAGGGAGAGACAGTCAGCAATGTAGACAAGGAACCTCTTAGATCCAACTACGTATAGGGTGGAGCTTTGGAAAAAAAAAAAAGCTGGTTGCAATATCAGGTGTCTTAAAGCTCTGTTCATGCCACCATTCAGGCCAGGTCTGCAGCAATCCAATCTGCACTGCATAAAGGGCAGAAGAGCCAGTACATATCTGGCAATTGCCCTGTGTGAGCTGGGGTAGCTGATGGACAGTCCTCAGTCAACAGAACTAGACCCTCTGCCAAGGATTCTTCACATTTCCCTCCACATGCTGGGAAGGACAAGGTATAGTGTAGGACAGACAAGAGACACGGCTCTATTCTACTTTGGTTGAGTGTAGACAGCCCTTGAAGAGTTATATCTAACAGACTGTCCCACAGAACAGCTTTGCAGCTGCTCTAACATACACTGTTCTCTCTGATCTCAATGCAGCAAGGAATCCAGCCATGCTAACTTTAAAGTAACCTTTACCAGTCACTGATGCTGTCAGCTCTAGCCTTGGTGCATGCCGGCACAGAAAGTGGCCCAGGGTTTCTGCTGAAGCTGTGGTCAGCTTGCAGCATCTCACCCCCAGAGGGCTTGGCCAGCATAGTTTCATGGAACTTTCTTGAGGGGAGGAGACACCATGGTTGCAGATCCCCCTGCCCCTTCTTCCTTTGTAATTCTTCATTTCACATAGTGCAACCACCATGCTGACCACATCAGTGGAACTGGCTGAACCAGCCTTCCTCCTTCATCCAAGCAGTGATCTGTACCCCAGAATTCACAGCCTCTGTAGTTCCAGAAGCCACTCGCACATGCTTATTCCCTGGGCTTCTAACTCCAGCTGAAACATCAGCTGTCCTGACTGTTCCAGCATGCCTGAATGCAAAGAGTGCTCAGCAGAGTCAGAGCTGTAGAGGCATACATGAGAGGGTTTTATAACTAAAAAACTGAATGGACACAATCCAGTCTGCGCATACTTGCCACTACACCTCTAGCAGGCTGCATTCATACATGTATAATCACTAAATTATACTTATCCACAAAGAAAATACAGTCTATATTTCAGTTTAGGACGACCTATACTAGAAACCATGGTTAAAGAAGATGCGGGGGGTGGGGGTGGAAATCAAGCAATGACTTAAAGATAAATGAGATCCTTCAAGTCCCAAATAAATAAGCAACCTTATGCTAAGCTACCAACTTAGCTGTTTGTTGGTACGCATTTTCTGTACTGGGAAATAATACAGTATTTGCATAAGCTTTAGCAAGTACCTACTCTCTGCAGAACTCCCTGTCACAGCAGCTTTTTTTAAGTAAAGAATTATCAGGAATGAAGCCTCAAAAGTGACCCCACCACAGTAACAGTCAAGAACGTTTTCCACAACCCAAGACAAGCACTTTTTTCTGCTGTGTTATAGCAATACTTGTTTAATGACCAGATTATGACTTCAACCATTCTGACAAAGCAGCTGAATAAATCCAAAAATAGTTAGACCCTGAAAAGTTTGTGTCTAGACCAACTGCAAAGTTAGTTTGAATACAGTAGTTTAAAATGAGCAGCAAGAAACAAGGGGAAAGCATCTGGCTCTTAACTACATTAACCTAACCAATTCTCTCCCCCTTCCACATTCCCCAGTTTGATTCCTGTTGCAGTAGGCCAACTTTTTTACTTTCTCCTTGGAGACCACAGACTTTAAGCATTACATTGTAGTGTATATTACTTACCTGGGCAGAACAAGGTGTAAAGCTCTAAGCAGTTGAATAAGGGGAAGAAGGGAAGGCTAGAAGGAAGACCCTTACCTTCCACATGCTTCAGCAATGCCCTGCTGCTGTTGCCATGAGCAGATATAAGGATCATTTTGCCACTTTTTAATTCTGGCACTATCTTTTCATTCCAATATGGAAGGAGTCTATCAAGCACATCTTTTAGACTTTCAGCCTTTGGGAGATTATCCTGAGAGACATCACTGCATTTATACCGGCGATCATTGTATATCTCTTCATAGTAAGGATGAGATTCGGTTATGGGAGGTGGGGTAACATCATAGCTTCTTCTCCATATTTTCACTTGCTCCTCTCCATGATTCAGAGCCATCTCTGCTCTGTTGAGACCAATCAGTGCACCATAGTGACGTTCATTCAGTCGCCAGGAACTCTGAATGGGGACCCATTCTTGGCCCATCTCTTCCAGGATAAGCCAAGCAGTCTGGATGGAGCGGCTGAGTACAGAGGTGAAGACGAGGTCAAACTCAAAGCCCAATGCTTTAAGGTGTTTGCCACAGTTCTGAGCTTCCTTTATCCCATCACTGCTCAGCTTCTGGTCCACCCAGCTGCAGAAGCGATTCTCCTTGTTCCAGGCTCCTTCCCCATGTCTTAAGAGAACAAGCCTGTACTTCGCCATTTTGATTGCAGCTTCACACAGATGGCAACTGTCTGGCATCTAATAATGATGCATCTGGACAGAGATAATGAGACAGATACATCAAACATCTCACAGATAATACATTACAAGTAGTAATATGGCAGCAAAGAGTAGACAACTATCAGAATCAAAAAAAAAAAACCCAAAGAAACAAGTGCCTGCTGAGTATGTTTTTATCCTTGAGGTCTCCTGGCTTTGAATTCCTTCCCACCCTCATGTGGGAGGAAAAGCTCCATCCTCTACCCAGCTTGTTGCAACTAGCCCACTTAGCCAATTGATTAGTAGCAGATTTGTATAAGATGTTCCTGCCTACAGATTTCCCTCAAGTGCTTACAGTGCACCTCACTCAACATCAGAGGCTCCCAACCAGAGAAGCAGATCTCACTCTCACTGGTGAACTTAGGTGAGACAGAGCCCAAGCTCTTAAGAGCTGCCCAGACCCACACTGGCTCCAAGAGGATTCAGACACAAATAACCACCACGATCCTCAGCCAGAGCAATTGGACATGAGGACCACAGAGTTGGAACTACATACAATACACAGAACCTTACTAGCTTTCCTCAAAGGAGATGTCACCATAATCACGCTCTGCATAAGTTGTTTCCTCATTTCCCCATCCTGTCCTGCTAATTATGCCAGTCTCTGCTTGATTTTTCCCCAGGCCAGCTCCTCCATCATTCTTCCACACTCAAGTGCCACAACACAGCTACTCTGGGGTGCAACACACAACTAGCAAGTCTTCATTTCACTGAATCCAGATGTGATCTCACAGATTATTCCATCCCCTTCCTGATTTTCAAGTATATTTTTTTGCTCTTGTGTCTATGAATTACAATGCCAGGTTCCCAGGCACCAGGATTGGTGTTTTTACTTTTGCAGTGGGCACAAATTGCGTATTTTCTGTCCTCGTTAAATAACAGACAGTGTTCTGTTCATAAGGTCAAACAGCACCTTTCTCTGCACCTGTTGACTAAGCAACACCACCTCCAGATTGTCTTCAACAGGAGATGGATTTTGACCACTCAACCCAAGCTTTTGCTATGTGGCCAAGGATCTTCTAGCAGATCATGTGATGCCTGAAAGGTCCATCTAACACAGCACTGCAACTCTGAAAGCCCCAAATGACCATTCTGACCCAAGATGTCACAGAGGAGATAGCAATGGATGGAGCAGGGGGAAAAAAAAAAAATAAAACCACAACTTTCTGCACTGGGAGGACTGTATACTAAAATGAACACTAAGTGCTCTCAAAACCATGGACAGTAGGAGACTGAGGTCTGGTTTCTGCACACCCAACTTTGGACTAGGTTTCCGTAAGAGACGTGCTTATGGGAGGTCACATAATCTCAAATCAGTTGGAGCTGCTTCAAGCACACTCCAAGCCTCTTAAGTGACTCAAATTCAGGCCCACTGTGACCCTGAATTAAGTCAGTAGGATGGGTTAAGCCCATGCACTCTGGGTTTTGGGAAGCACTCAGCACACCATAAGCATTCATTTTTACCAGACTTTCAAAAAGTGTATAGGAAAGTTGAATTCATTAACAGCCTCAGTAATTTGATCTTGACTGTAACAGCAGCTTACTTCTCCTTTACTCCCACAGAAGACAGAGCCTACATCACACAAGGACACTCCCAGCTCTAACTTCTGACTACTGGTACAGAATATCAGGAGGTATTGTCTGACACAAGACAGTTGTGTTTTCTTCAAGGGAAAGACTTCTGTGATTTCATGCAAAGGAGGCCTAAATTTTGGGTATGACAAGGAGCATCTCAAAGTCCCTTGCATGTTACATTTTTCCACTCATAGTAATCAGTTACACATTAAAGAGATCATTAGGATTCATCACATCAAATACAATACTAAACTACGCCCTTTATAATACCAGGTTTATAACAAAAAAAGAGTATCAGCTAGCACTTCCAACTAAAGCCAAAGTGATCTTCCTCCAACATCCCACAGATACAATTAAAAATTGCAGTGTGCTCACAGCATGAACTACTACACAAAACACAAATGCATAAAAAGCTCTATCTCTGCAGATACCTCATTGTTCAGTTTAATGATGTACTCCATTCCTGTAGATAATACAATTTATAAAGCCAAATTAAGAGCCAATAGAAAAAAAACAAGACCCAACAACAGAGGAGATGCACCTGTTTGCACATGTTCTTAATTGAGTAGTTTTGGCCAAAACCCAATAAAAAATGCAATTAATATAACAAAAAAAATTCATACAAAGACCCAAGATCATCTGGGGACCATAAACTCCAGTTCAGTTGTATAAAAGATTAGGCATCCTCAAACAAATTTAGAAAGGACTGGCAGTCATCGGTGCACTTACAGAAGCATTAAAGCTAGAAAGTCTTAGAGCAACACATGTAAGTAATCCTACTCACCTTTCCTGTGGCAAAGGAACAGCCTACACAAATCCCAGCACTGACTCAAGAGCTGCTTTATACAGAGGCCACCACACACTCTTGGCTAGTTACCTGCAGGAAGAAAATAAACACCAAGTGCTCACACAGAAAGGAACCACAAGTACAAATGGTTATGCCAACCATCATATGCTCTCGGAACGGTAAGAAAACAGAGCACACACCCCTTGTATGGGCTGGGAGAGCTACCAATTTCCTTCTCCCAAAAAGATGAATATGCACAGCTCCTGCATTTCCAGTGAGGGAAAGTTTCTTGTCTCCCAGATGCCCCAGGATATCACTTGCTCCCAAAGATTTGTTTAGACTGCAATTACCATAGCTCTAGCGCACAGAAATCTACCAAAACCTCTGGGACACCATGGAGGATACAGGCAGCAGACCTGGACCCAGCATAAAAAGAACCCAGCACAGCAGAACAGTGCAAGGTGCTCGGGATAACATCTTACATTAGCAGAGCTTTCAGCCAAGCACAGTCTTAAGATCTCAGAGGTGGTAACTTCCAGGACTCTTCTCTCCGAACAGCACAAGCTCACCTGCTCAGCCCTTTCACACAACACCCCTGGGCCACGCACCTATGTCTCTCAGCCTTCCCTAAGAGCGGGAAGGCCTACCCAGAAG